CCCGCTGACGCCGCCATCCCATGGCTCAGGGCTTGGTGGGGGGAATAGCCGAACGGCTGGCTGATGTCAGTCCCCTCACCGTGCGTAATCAAGTCGATGACTCTCTGTCTACCAAACTGAGTACGCTCGCGATGCGATGGCTGAAAGCCAAGGCATGCAGAAGGAATATGCAGACGGAAGAGGTAGAGGAAATGTAAAAACTTTGAGGTCGGAGAGCTGAGTTTATTAATTGCGAAAAACCTTCCTACACGAGCAATATTTGCTGTCTTTAAGATGAAGCTCCGTCCACGGTTTATCGGACCTTTCACGGTTGTGGTTAAGCGGGGGCTTGCGTATACGCTAAACCTCCCGAAACGGATGCGCACTCACCCGTACCGGGATCCGGCGAAAGTTAACGCGGAATTGTTGGTGACGGAGCGGCACCCGCCAGCGCTCGACCACCCAGAAGCTGGACCAGCAACTGCTTTTGAACACGGAGTGCAACAATCTTCATCTCCAACTGCGCCAAGCACTCCACCTTTGCATGAAGCGGCGCATTCCTCTGCTCAACGGCTAGGAGACGCTCTGACAAAACGCGATAGTCCTCAACGTGAGGCAGCCGGTGCACAACATGCTCCAAGCTCTCTTGGCCTTCAGCGCAGCGGTATGCGATCCCAGCATGACGCTCAGCGGAGTCCCGATCGCGACAGACCTCGTACCTAAGAGCTCGAAGAGCATCGCGAGTTACCGGACGGCGTTCGACCCAGTCGTTATCGCCCGCTGCCGCTTCTTCTCGACGAGAATGATGGTGCCCGCTGTCACGTGGAACGTATTGTGGGTCGACGTCGTCGCCAGGGTCAAACACAGTATCTTGTGAGGTGGCGGGGATACCCCGACTTTGAGAACTCGTGGGAGTTTGGAGTGCCACTTCGGCTGGACTGCCGAGACGCGACTCGTGAACGCTTTTGATAAATGGATCATGATGCTTTGCGTCGTTGTACACCCCGCGCTTCTCGGCAATAGCCAGTAAAGCCGCGGGGCCATGAGCTGAGCTTAAGTAATGATCCTGAGCTGCTGTGATCGCATCCTCACCCGTGTGAAACACCACAAAGGTTGTGGGAGTGTGAGGGCTCATTTCCATACGTCGCAGGGCGACAATCCGAAGGAAGCCGGCGACACGCCTTGAGTTTGGCAAACTCTAACCAAAGATGGCGTTCCACGCGCGCGTACACCTCCTTCTGGCTAAATTGAAAGTTTTATGGCGAGAGAAGTTTCTGGTGCCGCTACATCCATCGCTCAGAGGTTCTTTGTCATCTGCAGCGGTTTTGCCAGGGGCGAGCACAACAGTAATCGTCCGCATCGCGGATACAGGAGCGTCTCCTCTTTAAGCACGAAGTCAACTGCGCGACGTCTTCATCGAGTTTCTTGAGGAATCAGGAAATGAGCTCGAAGAGCTTTTTTTTCGTCAAGCTCAGCTTGTGTAGTGGCCGGGGGCTCGACCACGAAGACGCCCAACGATCGCGTGATCGTGTCCTTCGCTTCTACAGCGGAATCCGCTGAGTGGAAGCCGTATTCCACACGAAGTTTGATGACCGACCGTAGATACGCGCGCATGAGAGCCGCTTTGCGGGCAGCATCCAGCTGCTGTTTCTTCGAGGTGATTGGTAATAATACCACGTCCCCCGGAAGTCGATGCTTCGGGGAACGGACACGGCGTCCGTTAGGTCCAAGCACGGTCCACTGGGGCGCCTCGCTCTCTTGTTTTTCCCATCCTGGAAAAGAAGTATCCGACTCATAGTCGACTTACTCCAAATCTCCGAAAGGGCAATCCTTCGCCCGTGGCGAACGCGATGCGTCGTCCGAAGTTGCACCGCGTGCAGGAGACGAAGAAGGACTCTGCCCGCGGGCGTTCTCAGAAAAAGTGAGGCTGGGTGTCTTCCGTATTCTCGAAACAGGATTTACTGTGCAGACAAATGGAAGAAGGTCCTGGTGATGTTGTGGTGTCTTAGACAAGCGAGCCTCGTTCGAGGCGACAGTTGAATGCGAACTGTAGGTATGGGGGGAGTGTAACGGGATATCATGTCCCCGGTATGAAGGGTGTGGGCTACAAAAGATGAAGTGGCCACACAATGGTGTGGCTACACTTAAACAAGAAGTCAGTACATGGCTGGAACAGCCAATAATTATGCATTTAATTCGGATTTGCTATATAGATAGGAAAACCTATAATTTGAATATAGGCGGCTTTGCCGTATATAACACCGATAAATTCTGCTTACATTTTAAGCGGAAGAGTTCATTAGCATTGGGTTAAGGTTGTAGTTACTCATGGAGTAAGCGGATTGCGATCCGCTACACTCGTACTGGTTTAAGTATAGAAGAAGGTCACCGACCAAAACCAAGCTTCATATAAGCTTGACGTCAGAGTCTGATGTCCCAGACGTGGACCGCAGCTACGAGAATCGCTTGTAGTGTTGCCGCTAGCAACACTGCAACGTGAAAACAATTGAGCGACTTTGAAAGTGGAAGAGCGCTCAATTTGGACAAATTGAGGCATTGTAGCAGCGTTGCTATACGATAACAGATCGCTGCGAGAGCTTATCGAACCTTGTTGCATGGCAGAACTCGAAACTCGACGTTCTGACTGATGGTTCAACCCAATCCTCGGCTTTGGAGCCCCGCTTTAAAGTGCAGTTTTAACAAGTTCATGATAAACTTTTTTGACTCCAGAAGGACGAGAAATCTCGTTAGATGGCTCATGAACACCTGTTGTGCTCTGTTGAGGAGGGAGGCTTTGTTCTCGAGGCACTCCGTGGTGAGTACCATTATTGCCTTCAAGCGGTGGAATCAATTAAGGAGCATTCCTTTGATGCCCTTCAGCGCTTGTACGCCGAGAAGAATCTCCAGAGTGAAGAGTTGCTCTTCGTTGACAAATAGAAAATTTCAATCATCAGCTCGATCATTTACCGAAGGTAGAGTAGGGTCGGCAGATCCACTCGGGAGATACGACTTTAGCTTACCCACATCAAATGTAGGATGTAGGCGCATGCGTGTAGAAATGGCTAATGTATACGCCTCACCATTGCATTACAACACCTTGCACAATCCAATGAATCTTGTAAAATGTTTCTGCTTCCTAAGTTGGACATTGCATGTTCAGGCAGATTTGTCATGCTAAGTAGTACAAGATTAATGAGCTTATTTACCTCCTTATTCTTCCTTCCGCTCTTATCTCCTTTTTAGATCCTGAGCTTTCGCAATTGCGTCTCGAGCAAACCGAACAATGGCTTGTCTCTCCGCAATAAAGTCATCGACGTGTTGTCCTCACGGCTTGTCATGTCGCCTACAGGTCTCATTGAGGCAGAATTTGCTTTTAGCTTTCTGACAGCATTTGGGTCTGACTTTGGCTCTATAGCCATAGTTCCTTTCCCACTTAAGTTAGATCCCACGCCCATGGTGGCAGGTGCTCTAGGATGTTTACCATACTTCACATATAATGGCGAATGACCTGTCGAGATATGCGTGGAGCTGTTCAACGCAAGCTCTTCAAAAGGGGGAAATTCACTCAAATCTTTGAACGATGGAGCGTAACTACGCCGTACGTCCTCCACGATTCGATTCACATGCTCTGTCTGACCGTCCGTTTTAGGTTCTGCCGCTGTTGACATGTACAGTTTGGTGCTCAATAGTCCCAACAGTGCACGCCAAAATTTCGACATGAAATGGATGTCACGGTCCGAAACGATCTCAACAGGTAGGTCATGCAGACGGGAAACAACGTCTACAAGTACTTAGCTGTCTTCTCGGCAGAGATCTTGTCAGAAAGCGGATGAATCATCTTGCTGAATCGGACCACTAACACAAGGATGTCACTGCGTCCATGTGTACCACGCGGAAGTCCAAATGTAAAGTCCATAATCTTAGACTTTCAGCTGTCAATTAGTACTGCCGACGACCGAAGTGGGACCTGAGTGGAACCCGATACTTTTACTCTCTGTCAAATCTCACATTTCCCCTCACATACTTGCGCACCCACTTATACTTGTGGCCAATAGTAATCCCGGGAAAGACTGAGAAACGGTATCTTACGTCTGAGATGGCCACCCGAAGGGTGCCACTGCGTCCATTTGTACCACGTGGGAGCCCAAATGTGAAGCCCATAATCTTAGACTTCCAGCTGTCAGTTAGTACTGCCAACGACCGAAGTGAGACATGAGTGGAACCCGATAGCTTTGCTCTCCGACAAATCTCACAACCCCCTCACATACTTGCGCACCCACTTATACTAAGGTGGCCAATAGTAATCCCGGAAAAGACAGAGAAACGGTATCTCACGCCCGAGATGGCCACCCGAAGGGCTGTCATGGTACTCATACAAGAGAGGATGACGCAAACCTTCGTCTTTAAACCAACAACTCTTGCTGTTACCCCGGGTTCAGCCGCATAGTAAAAAATCTGTCCTTTACTCCAAGACGGTGAACACGCGATCTTGTGCGAGACGGAAGACCTTGTAGTGCGTTGCCGGAAGGGTCATTGAAATACTTCAATAAGTCCTGATATGTCACATCGGACATGTAGCTTCTGACAATCTCTTCGCGCCATGTAGTTGGAGCTCGCACTCTGATCGTCTGAACATTATCGCATTGTCGACAAGACTCATGCATGTTTTCGTTTCTGGACTTTGGATCATAGTCCGGACTTCTTGGCAATGAATCGGCTAAGGTGTTCGTCTCGCCTGGCTTGTAGTGTACAACAGAGTTGGACTCTGCAAAAAAGGAATACCATCTAGCCATTTTCTTGCGACAAATGAGGAGTCTTTATTGCCGTACTCATCGAAGCACGATCTGTATAGATTGTAAAGCGATCATCTCCAATCAAGTACACACGGAAATTAAGCAAAGCATACTTCATTGCTAGAAGCTCTTTGTCATGAACTGGATAATCCCTTTCCGCGGGCCAGTGCTGTCGCGACTGGTACGAAACAACTCGCTCGTAGCCCTCATCATCGTGTTGCATCAACGCAAAACTTGCTGACATAATATCTTGCATTACAGACCACATGAAAAGACTTATCGTGATTTGCAATCGCAGGAACAGGAGCTTCTTTCAAGCTCTTCTTCACTTCGGCAAATACCGCCAGGTGATCGTTCGACCTTTCCTCTCGACATTCTTCTATAAAGGTCGTTAGGGGTGTGACCCGATACATAATTGCGCGTGTCTTTGTGCAAATAAATGATTGGCTGTGCCAAACAATGAGAAACAGCAATGAAATGGTTGGGCTTTGCCATCACTTTATCCGGATCTACATGAACGCCAGATTTGCCCACAAAGCAGCTGGGGACGGGAATTTCAGGCGCAAAGAACTTGCTTTTTTCAGGTTAGCGAAGAGCTTATTTCCCCGCATAATTTGAAAGACTTAACGAAGATGGTCAAGATGAACATTGACATCAGACTGCACATTCGTTTCTTAGTATGAGAGTATATAGTCAATGTAACTCGGTGTAAACTCTTTCGCTGGACGAAGAAGATTCGTGACCATTCCGTTAAAAGTCGCTGAAGCGTTTTTCAGACCTTGTGGCATCACTAATTATTCCTGAAGCATACCGCTGGGAGTACTGACTACAGTTAGTGATATATCATTCTTGCTCATTTGTAACTAATAAATATCATCTTTCAGATCGATCGCACTGAAAACAGTACTACCAACCATTGCATCAAGGATCATATCCTTGCGTGGAATCGGAGGCTGGGTAAGTATGGTCGCATTGTTCAATTTATTGAAAGCGTGACCAATGCGCCAACCGGCTATGGCTTTCTTCACACAGAAGGTCAGGCTGCAATGCAGAAGCTTGCTCTCACGCACATGACAAGCCTTCTGTCGATGCACAAATAACTCGTGAAAAATGCTCTGACTTGTTTTATAGCAATGGCCACTGCCGTGTGATACAATACTTCGTACCAGGAAGTATGTCAATTTCATGACGAATGACTCTGTCAGATTGTAATTCGTCCGGCACCTTGTCTGTGAATATATCAGCACCATACACGGGTTTGTCCTTGGAATAGTGCTACGACTGCTCATCAAACCTTTCTTTTCGTGTCTCCTCTTAAAATACTTTCGACTTCATCGTCGATAGTTTCTTCGACGATTACACATATTTGCGAAAGTCTGTCTTTTGCGAGGAGACGCTTCAGCGTTTTCTTGTTCATCAACGGCAAGAAAAACAATTAATTTTATTGTAATTAAAGAATTTTTGATCGTCATGTGATGGATAACATCGACGTTACCTTCTTCGTTTATCGCCACAACATTTACAAACTCTTTTGAAGTGTCTCGTCTTTGAGCACATCTTACATCAATACAAAATGTACCTTGATCAGGGGCATGCAAAACACTTGACGAAAAACTCTTTTTGGTGGCCTTCATTTTTTTCTCGTGGGATGGGTATTTGCTTCTAGTCACACTTTTCTTCATGCTACCATCGTTCGTGACATACACGTCGATAGCAAAGAAAACAGTACTTTTCTGGCGTCTGACTGCTCTATTTGTTTACTTTAGTCTCGTTGGGCTTGTTCTGTGAACAAAGGGGAGACCATCGCACACCACAATATCACTAGGGATATATGTGACTTCTTCAACATATGCCCATACTGTTTCAATCGTCGTCATGCAGCCCGAGATAGCGCTGCGCGACTTGTTGACAACGATCTTCATATCCATCCAGCCGATAACGCTTCAACAATGGCATGCCTAGGATGACACCAAATTTATTATCGAGGTCGAGTAGCATAAACTCGTCTTCACCGCGAAACACCTGAAACTTCATTGCCAAGCGAATGGCTTGCTTTGGCATCTTCATTTTTGATCCATTCGCTAGACGAATGATCATTTCTTCTTTCACATCGAGCAGGCCAACACCATGCTGAGTCATAACTTGCGCTCGAACAAAGTTGTTCGACGCACCAGTGTCAATAAAAGCTCGTAGTGGTTTTTCATAACCATCCAAAAAGACATTTTGGATAATCAAAGTCGCACTTTGCCTGACACTTCCATCACTCATAGTGGAAAATGAATGTGCATCATGCACGTTGGGGCCAGAGTTTGTGAATCCACAGCATTCACGTTATTCTTCTCGGGCCCAGTAGGAAGCCTCGCCCCTACTGGTCGTATCCGTATTTTGACACATGTGAGCGTTGAATCAACGACCTTTTTACCGTCCGCGGTTATCCAAACAAGCCCCCTGTGTCTGTTGCGGACATGGCAAAGACACTCTGCCGTTCCGAGCAATATGATTCGGCTTCCCACAACGGAAACACTTTCCATCGTTGTAAGAATGCTCAGTTCCAGGCGTTGAAATGTTCGAAATACCGACTGGCTCTGGACCATCTCATGTATTGGTCGACTGGCGCCCTTGCCTTGGTGCGAAGCCAATGAACTTGGCTTGCTTGATGCCGAACTCTACTTGCATCGCACGGTTGATGGGGCATCATCCAGCGTCTTGGAATACTCACGGAACAATTCCTTCTGAATTGGACCATCATTTTAGTCTGCCATAAACGTTACAACTTGCGCTGAAACGTCAATTGGCTCGTCGACAATGCTCGATATCACGTAGCGAACACACTGTGCATACGAGTGTAGGCCGTAATGACCTTGACAAAGCTTAAAGAACTCGTCACGGGCACGAAACTCACTCTGTGGTGGTTCGAACACCTTTTTTCTAGCTCGACTTTGATGTGTGTGTAGCGCAGAAAACAATTTATATCGGCTAAGCGCTTACCATACGCCCAATCCTTCGCACGACCCGCAAGGTTGGACATCGCGAACAACACTTGCTGCATGGGGTCTCGCAATTTGTCTGCAGTGATTGCTGCGTTCAACTCAACAAACCGAACCATCAAGAACTCGTTTTCCCCACCACGGTACAAATACACTTTCAGTTTTAGAGGCGTCATTCTGTACGAAGAAACAGTGGTTGCGACCTGCTTCCGTGATTCCATGATTTCATGATGTATGAAACTGACGACCGCGACTTCCGGTCATCCAGAGAAGACGATTGGGCTAAATTGACTAATTCAGTTACTCCGATGACTTCTCACATCCGCTCGAGTGCCATTCACTCATGTGCAGACAAATCAAGAAACGTCTCATTCGTCAGCACCTCAATTTGCGGTACTGATCGACCGAGTGATACCCTACCTCCTTCTATGTCGCTCAAACAAGGATAATGTGACAATTTGAACTGGAATGCGCAACGCGGTTATTAAGCGCGTCGTCATACCAAAATCGAGTGATGCTGAAAAGACCGCTCAAAGTGCTACCAGGTGAAGGAGGGTGCTGTACACAAACCGCTCCTCAAATACAACACATTCGCTTGTGCGACGAAGAAGCGATTCCAGACGCGGAGGTAGAAGAACAGTCCCGGCTTGGAGGGTAGTAGAACAACTTAATACCTTGTAGGTCAATTTGCAACTGATTCTAAAATGAATTTTGGTTCCTAATTTATTTCAAAACACCCCAAGGGAATCTACAGGTTTTACTAATAAAATCTTGGGCTCCCAACTTATACAAGATCTTAAGTGTATGGAGCTTGAACTTCGAGAAGCTTGAACTCAAACTTTTGTGGAAAGTATCCAGTAGAAGTGAATGGCTTACGCCATCCACTTTGGAAGACATAGACACGTTGGTCTCGTCACCAGTGCAGATCTTCAAGTAGAAACCAGCATTAAGTGTCATACAGAATGTTTGTGGCAAGATGTCATGTATGCATCCGGGAACACCATATTGTAAGTTTATGAGTTCCCACAATGCATACAGAAGGTACGAAGTTAACCTTCATGTAATGGCTAAGTGCAGCCCATTACACTATTGTGTCTTGTCTGCGAAAGTGAACCGTATCAAGGATCTCGATTGGTATCTTACCGATATTTTCACCGGATTCTGTCATAGAGAATTGTCGAAATTGAGAAATGTGTGCTAGATCATGGTCATACAGCCACGATAAAGCGTCGGTAAGCTCACAAAGCTAGCTCGATTTGTATTCGACGACAAATTTATATTTCGCGCGGTGCGACCACCAATCGACCACCCGTTGCGAGGAATGTGGCACATGAATGGCCATCCGCAAAGAAGTGCGGCCTATATCAACCACTAGTACAAAGGGGCACTCAGAACGTTTTTAGACCATACTCCATCGCAAGATTTTCCTTGTTTCGAACAAAGTGGCTCCTCTTGTGACCCTTTTTCTTGTGAGCGCTCCTCGTTACAAGTATTTTAGCGAGCAGCCAATGACATGGTTCGAAACGTCACACACAACGACAACATTTGTATCTGTCCGGCAAAGCCAGGGAAGGCGCTTGCTGCAAGCTCACCTTACACTGCGTGCCTTTTCAACAAATAACAAAGTGAATTCGTAAGTCCCGCGTACCTTGTACTGCGAAGGTAGTAAGTCAGTCTCAGCAAATGTCACGTGTATTTTTGGGGTAGGGTGCAGACGAAGCACTAATTGACCTTCTCAGACTCTGCACAGATTCCCTTGTTATCGACAAAGCAACCAAGTATTAGAATTTTATATGCTTCACAGACGCACAAGTCAATGCTGGCATATACATGTTTACTTATAATTTAGAATACATGACTTAACTCGTCAGCCGCTGCTATGGACAAACATATCCTGTGCTTGAGCGAACACACGTAAGAATCAATGCAACTGTATCATCAGGCAATTTTAAGTCATCACAGGCTGTGGCATCACTCGATAATATCAAAGCATACCTCTTGGAATGCTAAGTGCTGTGCGTGGCTCCGCATCCGGAAGTAGTAGCACCCATTTATTGGATTCGTAGAATGTATACTATACATTCGGACTTACTAGTTATTAAGAACTTTGCTGTCTGGGTGGCTCGATTCGGCTTGCTGTGTTCCTGAACTTGTCGCTAGTTTCCGTTCGGTAAATAACCACAATATGGGGGCGACGAAATTTGAGAGCTCGATTTTTGCAGCAACCTAACTTTTGCCTTCTCGGCACAGAGACTCATGAGGAAGAGATCGTTGAGGTGCTTCGTATGTAGCACTAAATCTACCTCGTGTCGATGCTTCTTATCCGGTCGAGGTTGAGCGTCTCGATGCCTGCGAGTCCCCTTTAGACCATCCTCGTCGATAAGGATACTATTAAGTCCTATGAGGTGTTGTTTTGATATTGTGGGCACCACGTTTACAATCTTTTGGTCTTGGATTCGGACAAACGCTAAAGAATTTCGAGCTCCTCGAGGTTTAGCATCTCTGATATCCCCGGACATGCACTTACACTTGGTCATCAGTGGCAACTTGGCATGTTGTTGTGGATGCAATCGCATCTTCCGACTTTCACCGTGTGTGAGTCAATTGTCTTAATCCAATTACCCGTGACATGGAGTTACTCAGGTCAAGTGCCAAGTAGGCTTGTTTTCGCCACTCAAACTTTATCGAGTCCTGTCCAGTGTTATCTTAGTAGCAACACCTTTGGCCTTCTACTCCACATTATGCGGAACACCTTCACCTGTGAGTTGCGGTGTATCAGTGATAATACTGAGAATGCAAACAAGCAACCCCAATCCGTTATAATCTTTGCGACCTGCAGTGATGCTTCCGTGTTCACTTTACATTGTAAAGCTTGTATCTTACACAAGTAGTGGCTCTTTTACTTTTCACAGCTTATACCCCGCGCGTGTTGACGTGGAGGGTCCTTTGATGCGAAGTCTGGATACCCACACTCGATCTTGTGCCTCCCTACGCAGTCTTATTTTATTAGCATGACCGTATTACTAGCGACGGAGTGTGACAGCCCCTTGCTTACTTTACGATCACCTCTATAACAGCTCTTGCAGTCAGCAAAGCCCCGCGAATCGCTCGCGGAGGTGACGATTGTTTTTATAGCCACCTCAAATCGTTTGCAGTAATTTTCTTAAATACAATAACGCCATTGCAAGCCCTTTGAGCGCTCGAACATTGGCAAAGGTGGAGACAGAACAAATCAAAGCTATGTCGGAACGGACCTCGGGTTCTTTATGTGCCATTTTCACTGAAGTCGATCGGTTTTCTTTGATCGCTCGAAGAGCATAGCAAGCCTAACGCAATTTCGTAAGCCCGTACGCGCCAAATTTTCTCAAGACTCCCAAGATTCTTCCGCACCACGTACAAATGCGTGTTTTGAAGCAGACCTCCGCTGCTCGTTACTCCTTCGATAGCACCAAGGCTAACAGGGGGCTGATTCAAACGGTTCTTGATATCCGCGCATTCTTTAAAAGCGCTCAGTATCACGCCAAAAGAGTGCGTTGTCCCTAATGATGAGAAGAATTACTGGAATTCGTGGCCATGGCTTCTGCTGTCGATTCGGTGAACACATTTAGGGTGCAGATAAACCTCCTCACTTTCCTTGCCCCTAAGTCAGGTCGGCATTGTGTGCCTCATCTTTCTGCAGTTATTGCAACCGATGTTGCTGTGCGCGGTCATACTAAGGCTATTGATTTTGGTTCGCCAGTGACTACTGCTTTAGGCATCAATGATCCCGCTGTCTCATGAATAGACAAGTTCACTTGCGGATCATCCTAATGCGCAATCTATATCGTCGAAGCCTGCGCCAGGAATACCTGAGTGTCAGCAGATGCCGCTTTTAGGCCGTACAAAACACCGTCACGCTGGCGTGGGTTCAATTTACTAGATATGCCGTCAGAACGCTCATCTTTATGGTCTACCCAGTCAACTCGCACCTCGTCTGTTTTCACGCAAGAGAGTGCGAGAGTTGGTGGGACTTATAGTCCGCCAGATTGCGAGAGTTGGTGGGACTTATAGTCCGCCAGATGGAATGCTGCTCATAACTCCTCTCATAGCTGCGGCTAACATATAAATAGTCCATATATCATCCCTACATGTGCGTATGCTCAAACCTTACTCGTCTACTTAGGTAGAAATAGCAAACGCAACCTGGATTGCTGGACTGAGATCCCAGCTGTCTCTTTGGCTAACTCTGGTCCACACCCAGACGTGGATGGTCTCATCTTTTAATTTCTTATAGAGTAAAGTTTCAGCCGCAAAACGTAGCACACGAATCTGTGACTTACTGTTCTTGAGCAATCCTATGATAAATCATCTCACTTTCGTACTAAGTAAACCCTTTCACGAATTCAACTGGTGCATCCAGTGACGATACCGCAAAGCACTAACGAGCCGCGACCCTTTAGTGCTTGCTATCTTCATGTCAAAAGCCGATGATGTGCTTAAATCGTTTCGATCCATCACATTTACAAAATGTTAAATAGCTTTTCGAGCTGTGTAGGCGTGGTACCGATTACGAGTGTTATCGAGTTCGAGCGGCATGCTCTGGTAGTGGCTGGCGATGTCCCAAGGGCGTTCAAATGTACCAGCAACATTTAATCGTCTTGTGACGCTATTATTCAGGTCCACCGTGCGTATGCACAAACCTACTTCGACGACATCTTCATCCACAGTCGTGCGGAGCACGGGAGGACGGATAAAGAGAAGCACATCGTTCATTTAAGATCGGTGCTCGAGTGCATGCGCACGAATAAGCTGTATGCTAATGCAGACAAGTGCATCTTCGATGCGGAAGAAATCTCCTTTTTAGGGTGCTTCATCAAGAAGCGTGGCCTTCGAGCGAATCCCGCTAATGTCAAGACTATTGTGGGGTTGCCGGTTCCAAATATCCAGAAGGACTTGCGCAAGTGGCTTGGTCTTGCCGATTACTCGCACAGTACAGCGAGAATCACGCAGAAATGGCAAGGCCATTGTCGAATCTCCTTAAGAAGGATGCGAAATGGTGTTGGTCACCGAGCATCGGTAGGCTTTCGACGGGGTCAAAGACAACCTCCTTCAAGCGCCAATACTAGCGTTGGCGTTGCCAAACCCTGATCGTCTCTTCAGTGTCGTCTGTGACGCTTCGGACTTTGCCATCGGCTGTGCACTGCTGCAAGCAAACGCCGAGGCGCGAGATCGGGTGATCGCGTTCAAATCTTGTTAGCTCAAGGCTACAGAGAAGAACTACCTAGTTCAAGACAAGGAATTACTTGCGATGAAGTATGCACTCTCAAGTTCAGGGTTCACCCGCTCGGCGCCAAGCCGTTCGTGATCTACACAGATCATGCGTCACTACGTACTGCGACTCAATCGTCTCGCATCTCGCAGATGATAGTCAGGTGGCTCTCCTATTTTGCAGAATGTAACTTTGAGGTGAAGTATAAGCCAATAAAGCAAAATGCTTTGGCTGATGCGCTGTCACGCAGACCAGATTATGAGCTTGCTCACGATGGTGACGTCGACCGTGACGGATCTGATCCCGGGTGATGATATGTGCGTAGCGCTACTATGGGCTCTAAGGAGCAAGGAGGCTGGAAACTCGGGCAAGAAGTTGTCTTCGCCACTGCGTGTACAGTTGCACCAATATTCATTTAATGATGAACTGCTATATTATAGCACCGACTCAACGGAAACGCCACGAATTGTGGTTCCTCGCGATGAGGATTTGATATACCGTATCCTCTATTAGGCCCACAGCACTCCACTCAGTGGTCATCTCAGTCGTGAAAAGAATTACAGCTCTGTCAGTTGCCACTAATGATAGATCCAGCTGTACAAACGGACGAGCACATATATGCGCACTTGTTAGAGGGTAATCCTCTTCGAATGCGGCGGTGCCACTGGCCAGTTTGCCGGTACGTCCCGGGTGCTGACAGTCCATGAGTTTGGACTTCTTGTTTGGCCTGCTGAAGGTTTCGGTGGGCAACACGAGTGTCGTGGTCTTTGTCGACCGCTTGAGCAAGATGACTCATCTTGCGGCGGTGCCGGACACCATCGACGGTGTCGGTACAGCGAAGCTGTTTGTGGATCGAGTCTTTTGACAACATGGACTCCCGGAGTCAATTGTCTTTGACAAAAACCCACGCTTCACTGGGAAGTTTTAGTCGACGATATTCAAGGTGCTGGACACCAAGCTGGAAATGTTGACAGCGGACCATCCGCAGATCGATGGTCAAACTGAGCGCGTGAATCGCGTCATCGAGGACGTCCTTCGCAGCGTCTGCGCTGAGACTCCGAGGCGCTGGAGTACTATGCTGCCACTCGTGAAGTTCATTCTGAACAATGGAGTGCATACGTCTACGGGCTACGCGCTGTCCAACGTGCACGAGCTCGTTTAACCTCGCGTACCGCTGACGTTGCCGTCCCATGGTTCAGGGCTGGGTGGGGGAGGAATAGCCGAGCGACTAGCTGATGTCGGCCCTGCCACTGCACGCAAAGTAGTCGATGACTTCCTGTCTACCAGACTGAGTGTCGTACAACACGTTCGCGATGCGATCGCTGAGAGCCAAGACATGCAGAAGGAATATGCCGACGAAAGAGATAGAGGAAATGTAAAAAAATTGAGGTTGGAGACCTGGTATTATTAAATGCGGAAAACCTTCCTGCACATGCAGCGTCTGCTGTCTTGAAGACGAAGCTCCGTCCACGGTTTATCGGACCTTTCAAGGTTGTGGCCTAGCGGGGCCTTGCGTGTACGCTAAACCTTCCGAAACAGATGCGCACCCACCCGGTGTTTTATGTAGGCCTGCTCAAGCCGTTCCGCGATCTGACGAAAGTAAGCGCGGAAGTGTTGGTGACGAAGCGGCGCCCACAGGCGCTCGGCTACCCAGAAGCGGGACCAGCAACTGGCTTTGAGCAAGGAGTGCAACGTTATCCATATCCAATGGCGCCAAGCATTCCACCTTTGTATGAAGCGACCCATTCTTCTGCTCAACGGCTAGAAGCTGATACGACAGAGCACGATAGTCCTCAATATGAGGTAGTCGATGCACAAATTGCTCCAGGCTCTCGAAATCTTCCGCACAGCGATAGGCAACCTCGGAAAGATGCGCGGCATCGTGCCGATGACAATAGACTTTGTCCTCAGAAGATCGAAGAGCATCGAGAGTAACTGGGCCGCGATCGAGCAAGTCGTCATCGTCCACCGCCGACTCTTCGCGACAAAAACGGTGGTTTCCACTATCACGTTGAACGTCTAGCGGGTCGACGTCGTCACCAGGGTCAAACCCAGTATCTTTTGAAGTGGCGGGGATACTCCGACTCCGAGAACTCGTGGGATTTTGAGGTGCCACTTCGACAGACGTCGTGGACGCTCATGATCAGAGAGATCATGACGTTCCGCGTCATCGTACGCCCCGTGCCTCTCGGAAATACCCGGAGAAGACGAAGGGTCATGGTCTGAGCTCAAGCTATGACCCTGAGGTGCTGCGGTCGCAGACTCACCCTGTGAAAGACTACAGAGGTCGTGGGAGCGTGATAAATCAACCCACCATATTTTCGTTTG